GGGCGAGGGAGGATGCCGACGCTGGTGGAGGGCTTGTCACACGCCAGCGCTGTGCCCGGGACTCTCAGGGCATCGTCTCATTAAACCCCACAGAGGGCCTGTGACAGAAATGCGGTTGTTTTATCCCCCTTTTAAAGGGAAGGAAACTGAGGCCTGAGAACTTCAGTCACTTGCCCGGGGTCACGAGTGGAAAGAGCCCAGGTCTGCGTGACTTGAGAATGTGCCTCTTAGCGATTGCCCTTGTCCCATCTCCCGGAAAGGCCCCCGCGGTGCAGGAGTCTGCCACCCTGAACTGGTCAAATCAGAACCTGTTGAACACACCCTGTGGTCAGTTAGGAAGATACTGTCAAACATAATACATCTCGTGATTACATGTAACCGTCTGTGTATGTGTAAGTTGGGGCTCAGTTATTGAAGGGCCTGCTTAAGTGCTAAGTGTGTTAACAGGGTGCGGTGTCAATTAGGAGAGGGTTGGGACTCTAGAAAGGCTTGGCCTTTGTCTTAGTCTGTTCTGGCTGCTGTAACAAAATACCACAGACTGGGTGGCTGATAAAGAAGAGAAATTTATTTCTCACGGTTCTGGAGGCTGAAAATCCACAATCGGGGTGCCAGCATGGCCAGGTGAGGGCCCTCTTCCAGACCTCCGACTCACCATTGTACCCTCACGTGGCGGAAGGGCCAGCATCTCCCTGGAGCCTCTCGAGGGTGCTGCTGGCGGCACATGGTCGCGTAAGAGCAGCTGAGCTGGGGTGCTGAGCCCGCAGCCCGCTCCCCCAGAATGGAGGCACGTGACAGAACTTCACTCCCAGCAGGAAGCGAAGCCTTCAGTGTCAGTGGGTCACAGCATGTGTGGCACTTTCACCGATTCAGTTGACTGGACGAGGGTTGTCCCTGAGTTTGTGAGTTAGCCGAGGGATTGAAATGTGTAAGAACGAGCGGGTACCGAGGGCAGGTGTCCTGAGTCTGATGCAACCCGACAGCGGCTGGCGCTCACAGGGCGAGAGGGCCTTGGCGTCCCCAGATGGGGAGAAGGAGCCCAGCTGGCACCTGGCCGGCGGAGGGAAGGGGACCTGCCCGTCCCTGCAGTTGCCACAGCTCCATCCAGGTTCAAGTACAGCTTTGTGAAACCGCCTAAGGATATGAGCGGCTTTGACCTCCTTTCAGTTTAAAATTTTGTTTATTCCCCCTTTCCCTGGTCCATGGGTTCCAAAACTCCTCTGCCAGAATGCAGAGACCGTTTGCGTGAATGACAGGGACCTTGGTGTTGCGTTGGAGTTTTGTCGAGTTCCCGCGCCAGTCGTGGGCAGTGAGCCTGGCAAGGACTTCGGCCACAGCCCCACACGCCCCTCTCCCGTTTCCCTGTGGCAGCAGTGTGCCTTTGCGGGATATGGTGACGTAGTTGTCTTTGCCTGGCGATCGGTCATCTAGGAGCGCCTCTGTCACACCCCCCTCAGCAGGGCCCAGGCCTGCGGGGTGCTGACCAGGAGCTGCAGGCGCTCACTGTCACTTCCCAGCCTGACCTCAGGCTTCTCTCTCTGGATGAGACTTCGGGAGCGTAGCTTTGGGGGCCCTAAGGTAGCATCAGAGGCATTGCAAGGTCACTTCATTTATTTAAAAAAAAAGAAAAGAAAAGAAAAAACAAAAGATTGGGTAGAAAAGGAAACGAATTCATAGGAATTTTTAGCATTTGGGTAGCATAGTTCTTCCATCCATTTTTAAGGCTTATGCCCTTCCCTTCCAAAGGATTTGAGGTGGGGTACGATATTTAAAAGGCTGTGATGTTTGACTTTCAAGGGATAAATCCGAAGAGGTTTATCTAAAATTTTTAGAATGAGTAAATACGAGCAGGTATCTGACTATACATGTTGGACTGAGCCAGAAGGTTCCTGAAAGGACAGAAAGCGTAGACTGGGCTGTGTGACAAAGCAGAGGACGTGGCCACCCACACAGTGCGTGAGGCTGGCTCTCCTTTGGGGCTGTTTAGACACTGAGGATGGCACCGGTCAGTCTTCAGGCCCGGGTGGGGGACCTCAGGCCGGAGGCCCTGGGGAGGGTTTGGCCTGGCCGGTGGCCCTCGTCCCGGTCACTGTGAACAGCCTGTCAGAGCTCGGCTACATTAACCTAATGACTCTTTCTTTTGTCTCTTTTCTCCTCCCCATCTTCTCGTTCTGTGTGTGTTTTCCTCTTCGACTCCGTAGTATAAATCTGTGTTCAGGTCCTACTCCCAGGATTTCGTGCCTCACGGCCAAGCTTCCGTTCAGCCTTTCCTCCCGTCTACCTCCTCTTCCTCTCCGCGTTTCCCTCCTGCTCACCAGTCTCCGAGCTCTGACTTGGCGGTGCCCGCCGTGGCCGGCCCGCCCCCCAGCACCGTAGACGGGCCTCTTTCATCTTCTCGGGAGAGCAGCTCTCATGGGAACACTGTCTGCCTTCCTTCTGAAACCTCTTTCACTGACTCGCCCCCGACGCCTTCGGTGAGAACTCAACCCCTCCCACCCCCCCGACGTGGGGCCACACGTTTGGAGAAAGCGGTGTCACCGTTCATGAATGAGCCACCTCCCTTCCCCCGCAGCCAGGTCTGTCGCTGGCGTGTGCCCGCTGGCAGCATGGCCAGTCGAGGTCTGTGGCAGGCCACCGGGCGAAGCAGTAGCCCATGTGTTCGCAGAACAGAAATCAAGCCTATACAGAGTTCCCAGCGAACCAAGGGTCTGAGTTTCCACAGGTGGATTAGTGGCCACTTAGAGATTGTCAGTCGCCATACGCAGAAGGTAGAAAATGCTGCTAGTTTCCTGTTTGGTTGGCGGTTTTTAGAGAAAGGCACAGAGACCGAAGGCGGTCGTGTGCTTAGTTGCGTGTCTGGGGACCAGGGGCCTGCTCTCCTGTGCTGGGAAGGTGACTGCAGAGCTGCGTCCAGGCACAGGGAAGTGCTGCCCCACAGGTAGGAGGGGACAAGTGGACAGGCCGGAGCAAAGCAGGCAGGTGGGGCCAGGCCTCACATGTGGGTCGTCTTGATGTGTGGGTTCCTTCCCTCCATAAGTGCCTCCCACCCCACTGGGGACCCCGCAGTCCCCACCACGGCAGAGTGGGAGGGGCGGTCTGATGGCCCTTGACATCTGTGGAGAAGACCCAGCAGGAAACGTGGGTCCCCTTTAACACAACGAGAGGTGGCTGGAGCAGCTCGTTCATTGTTCCCCGACCCCAAGGCAGAGCCGCCCCGGAAGAACCGAGTGCAGGCCCGGCGGGCTTCTCCTTCTCTGAGAAGGTCGTCCTGGCAGGGCCAGCCCGGGAGGCTGCCTCTCTGAGCCGTGAGGACCGGCTCGAGGGCCTGTCACATGTGCCTTTCCTCTCGTCCTGTCTCCCCCAGAGTGACAACGCCAGTGAGGAAGCTGGTGAGGGCGAATACGTCAGTCTGTGCTCCTCTGGCCAGAGCAGCGAGGAGCTGGCTGACCCCCGAGGAGTAAGTAGCCTCGGGCTGCCTGGTGCATGCGGCCTGGCGCCAGGGCTCGGCCCGGCTTCCGTCTGGCCGAGCCCCCCGGTCACTAGCAGACCGGGTCCCCGCAGCCTTGCCAGTTCGGCCTCGTGGGTGAGGACATGGCTTCTGGTGAAAGTCTCCCCTGTGCTTTCGCTTCAGTTCGAGCGGCGCCCCTCGAGTCTGGCCGATGGGTCTCAGAGTCCACGGAGCAGCCTGCCAATGGCCCGGCCGTGTGCCGGGGGCTCTCCAGGACGTCTTTCTGTCCCATCTTCTGGTGTCGATGTCCGCCCTCCATTCCTCTTGCCCCCAGCATGCCCCTTCGCCCCTTTGCTAACTGCTTCCCAGGGAGCAGGGAGTCTGGCAGGTGGCCCCCATGTGCTCACACACCTGTCACTGCTGCCCCGGGGCCAGCGAGTAGAGCGTCAGCAGTTCTGTTACGTAGCCAGCTTTCTGGGTTTTGCTGCAGCAAAACATGGGCAAATTCAGAAGCCTCAGAACAGCCCGTGAAAAACGAGGTCCCTCCTGTTAAGGCCCCTAGGAGGTCCCCATAGGATCCTAGATGTCCACATAAGACAAGTCGTAGAACGTGGACTTTCCCTCCAGCGAGGTCGGAGCCTGTGTGGGGAGCTTAGCCATTTCCGCCCTGGAATCCTCAACTCTCCTGGCCCCTCTGGGGACCTCTGCCCAGCCGCCATCCACCCAGTTCAGCCCCCACACAGTGGAGCCCCGCAGGCCAGCCTGGGGCCCGTCCTCCACCCGGGGCCACGTTCAGGGCTGGCCACTTCACTGCACACACTCGTGATGATGTCCCACGTGTTCTTGCTGCTCGTTCTCTGTCGTGGCCTGGGTGGCAGACCAGGAACTCTGGAGCACAGTGTTGTCAGCCCGGGGCGGGCCCAGAGTCCCGGGAAGCGAGGCTGCCGGAGGAGAAGGTGGCTGTCGAGCCACAGTCCTGAGGACTGTAACTGGGTGGGGAGCCAGCAAAGGTCTGCCGCCCACCAGCAGGCACAGCGGCTGAGGACGCAGGTTCAGGAGGTAGACGGCCCTGGATCTGAGTCGAGTCTGCAGCCTCCCAGCCGTGTGGTCTTGGGCAGGGCTCTTCACTTCTGCCAGCCTCTGCCCGTGCATGCGAGAATGGGCGTGACGGTGCCCGCCAATGACGGCTCGGGCGGGGCCGAGTGAGGAGAGGCGTGCGGCGCCCTCAGCACAGCACCTGGCTGCGCTTTGCCGAGTAGCAGCGACTGTGACATCCTTTCTTCCAGGAGGTGGTTGGGATGGCTTCGTCTCGGTTGGCAGCTGACACATGTTATAAGTAGTGGCACCTTTCACTCTCCCCAGAGGCAAGATGCTAGTCTGAAGAGGGCCTTGTGCTTCCCGTGTGACAAGCCGCGTTCATGGGTAACTTGTCCACGTCTTGGACTGCTCTGTAGGAACTCACCTACCGAAGCCACTTGCAGGCAGGGATGCTGGGAAGCAAACCAGCCCCAGCTTGGGCACCTGTCACAAACGCAGCACTGACCTCTCTTTTCAGGAATCACCAGCTGTGAAAGACGGACACCCTAGAGACCCCTCTTCAGTCAGCAGTGCCCCTGGGAAGGACAGCAGAGACGGCGGGGAGAGGTAAGGGGTGACCCAGCGGGGCCGGCGGCCTGGAAGCAGCAGGTTTGCCCGGGGGCAGCGGCCGGAGCTGCCCCTGCCAGCCACACGCCTGGCCTGCTGGTGCCCTGTGTCTGTGGTCTTGCTTTTTTTCTGACTCTCAAAATCATGCATTTTCAGGGTAGAAAATGTGGAGGTACAGAAAAGTGTGAGAAAACAGGAAAAAACACAAATAGCCCGTCCTCAAAGACTTCATTCTAGTGTACAGTCTGCCATTATTTCTTGATTATCTGAAACCATGTTAACCACCTTACGAATTCCCCACGACAGTCTGTTCTTTGACAAATCAGAGGCCAGCTTTCCTCAACCTCTTCCAAGTTCAAGTACAATAACACAGTGTAAAAGATCCCCCCAAATAAGAAAAAAACTGGGTTTTGTGAATTTCCAGATACAGTGCGTATATTAGATTCTTAAACCATGTGAAAGTAAGTTACAGGTGTGACCCTCGGTCCTAAAGGCTCCAGCATGTCATCTTACAGTTCCCTAATTCTCCCTAAAATGTCTCGTATAGCTGATTTTCCTCAAACCAGGGTTGATCAAGAGTCACCTCTGCATTTAGTTGTATGTTTCTTTAATCTTTTATAGCATTTTTCAGTGTTAGCATAAGTCAAACCTGACCAGGTTTAAAAATAGGTAGTAAATTTCAAAATAGACCGTGTTGGACCTGTAGGTCGGCGCTGCCAGCTGCAGCTTCACGATGGCTTCACCGTCTTGGGGAACTGTCCCACGTACTCAAGCTTTTCCTCCCTCTTTAGGCCAAAGTTCGGCTACCTCTGCGGTCCCGGGTGCAAAGCTAAGCAATGCCCAGGTGTCGTTGTCAGACTTAAGCATAAATGGTCAAAGAGGTCGGAAAACTAGCAAGAGACAGAACAAAAAAATCGGAAAGCGTCGTATGAGGGCCTGCGGAAGAGGGTCACGCCCCCGGCCTGTTCTTGACCCCCACTCTGTGTGGTCCATGTCGAGTCTGAGTCATCTGCCAAGTTAAGGTGTCCCCAGCTGTGAAGCAGGGCGATAAGTTAACTAGTTTAACACCTGCCGGCGGCAGTAGCTCATAGGTTCTATCTCTGGCTTCACTGGGCCCGAGAGTGCCATTTTTCAGAGTTCCAGATGGCCCCTGTAAAAGAAGCAGAAGGACGAGCACATCGACTGGTTAGAAACAGTCGCTGGGATGTTGTCCGCGTTCCACACACACCAAACTGCCGACTAGACGTTTGACGAGATGTGGCAGAGGGTTCTTTCCAGGACCGCGTGTGGTTTTGTCCTGGCCCATCTGTGTCATCTTACTGCAGGCGCAAACTTTTATGTCTGAGATGCTTCAGGTTAAAAATGTGGCCTGTGACCACAAGGGCAGCCAGTGCCTCGCAGGATCCATCGTGGGAATCTAAGTATGAATCGGGGCTGTGGGAGAAAACTCTGCAGGAAAGTAAGGTGCCTTCAGAGCCAGCACCCTTCTCCCCCAGAATGCACCCCAGCCACCCGCCTGCTCCCTCCGTGGGGAGGCTCGCTCCTTCTCCTGTACCAGCAACCTCCCAGTCAACTCTTCGGTCTCAGCTTATCTGTCTTGTCCTCAGGGGCCTTCCCTGCTCTTCAGACTAAGCTGAGACCCCTGCTTGTTTTAGCATCCGTGTCACCTGCTAGACCCAGTGCCTCCAGGACAGGGGCCAGTCTGCCAGATTCACACTTCTCCTCAGTCCCTCGGAGAAATGGCCCTCGGCAAAGACTTGGCGAGTGGCATTAAGATGCACACGAACCCCGACTCTGTGTACAGTGAGCTTTGACAGAGAGTGACCGACGCCATCCCTTATTTAAGTAGCTCAGCGGAACCTTCTTGGTTTCCTGGCGTAATCCCTTCTGCTTACAGGTGGATCATCCAGAGAGAGCAGAAAATGTCCCAAGGTCACACAGCTCATCAGTACCAGAGCTAGAAATCCAGTTCACATTGTGGCTTCCATCCACCACTCAGGATCCCGGGGTGGCGGTCGGGGGTGGGAAGTGGGTCTGGGCTTCACACTGGAGCTGTCACCAGGGTGGACTTGTTCAGGGGCATGGCTCTGACACGTGGTTCCCATCCAGAGGGCTACACTGCCTCAGCCTCCAGGCCATAGAGCCCATCCAGAGGGCTACACTGCCTCAGCCTCCAGGCCATGGTGACACCTACAGCGAAAACCACTTCTCCCTCCAGGGACCCAAAGTCACCAGATGCTCCAGAGTCGGCTCAGTCAGAAGAAGAAGTGGACGAGCTGTCCCTCATTGACCACAATGAAATTATGGCCAGGCTGACACTCAAGCAAGAGGTGAGGCGTCTTCAGGCCTTACTCCTGCAGAGTCTGGCCCGTGATGAGGGTGGGGGGCTTTGAAGAGGATGCAGCCTTGAGGTGCATCAAATAGAAAGACCCAAGTGAGGCGTCGACCTCCAGGGGCAGCCTGGACTGTGGGCCTCATGCATCTTGTGTATCCTGGCCCAACACCTGAGGCACCATGGGTACTGAAAGATCCTGAGCAAATGGGTGAATTCCAGGAGGAAGTGTGCTGTCACCTTCTCTGACACATCTAGCGAGTGATCTCGGGCAAGCTGCAGGACATCTCTCAGCCCCCGATGGCTGGCTTGTGAGATTGACGTTGGTGGGAGGCGCTCAGCACGGAGCCTGTGCGTGGGGCACCCTCGTGAGCGGGAGGTGTCGCTGTGTTGTTACGATCAGCGACCCCACGGTTGTCTCCGCGTGAGAACACAGCTGATCAGGAAACCTCAGGCTACCTGCGTCCTGTGCCTTGTCAAAAGAGCCTCGCTGGTGAGGACAGGACCACACCTGTCGGAGGAACTAACCCGTAGGGCCTGCGGCCTCTCTTCTGCCATGTGCATCTGGAAACCCAGAGGAATGGCTGAATGCAGTGGCCCAGCCGTGATGCACAGCCAGGCCCCTGGCTCCGACTCGAGGCAGCACACACGGCCACAGACAAGCAGGCGCGCACTGCCCTCCGCGCGCTGCTTGACTCGGCTGAGCTGGCCGGGGGGAGCTGCGGGCCACTGGGACAGCTGCGCCTCCGCGGACAAGTGTGGGCTCAGGGCCTCTGGCAGAGATTTCTTCCAAAACCTCAAGTCAAGGTCATAGATAGCCACCCCCACACTTAGCTAGAAGTCCAAGGTGCGTTCAAGACTCAGGCCAGGGGTGAACACCGAGGCCCTGACGAGGCTGATGTGTCTGTGAGAGCGAGGGCGGCAGACACGAGCAGGGTCGCGGGCCGCATTCCGTCCCCTTCAGAATCACAGAGCAAGGGAGCGCTGGGGCCCCGGGCCAGGCCTGGTGCTCTGCACCCCTGGTGACAGCTCTCTTTGGCTCCGGGCCAGGTTGCAGGCATTGGGCATGTAAGCAGTGTCAGGTCTAATTAAACATCTTTGTGATACTTTGCATTCCTCTGAAAAGGGCTCCTTGGAAGGACCTGTGACGTTATGACAAGTGACTTCTCTTTCCACCTGGGGAAGCACAATCAGATCTAGAGTAGCCTGCTGTGGTTTTAGGGACACGAACGTACTCGGAAGTGTTCCTGCAGCCCAACAGTTACTCCGGGAGAGGCTGGTGGCGGTCCTGCCTGCCTCGCCGCAGGGCCCCGCCTGGCCGGGGGCATAACACGGCCCGCAACCCTGATTGGGTTCCCGCCTGCCTCGCCGTGGTGCCCCGCCATCCCTAGTGTGTGAGAACGTCCCTCCCTTCCTCGCTGACCCCTGGGTTGGTGAACAGGAAAAGCGAAGGGTGCCATGGCCCCCTGACCCCCTAGTGTCCTCAGAGCAATGTGCCCTGGTGCTATTGGTGTCTGCGCAGCCCAGGCCCACCCACCACCCAGGTGACATCTGCCCTGTGCCTGCCCACCAAGCACGGAGCACCGGACGGGCAGGATGGGCACACCTGGCCTCTGCAGCGCAGCCACACTGCCCCCAGGCCGAGCAGAGGAGAGGGGGCTTGGGGGCACCGCGGTGCAGAGTCTGTGTCGTCTCTTGTCTGCCTGTGACTTCTGAAGCCGACGTCTCACGGCTGCCTCACGCCCTCCTGTGTTGTCATTGCAGGGTGATGATGGGCCAGACGTCCGTGGAGGATCTGGGGACATCCTACTGGTCCACGCTACTGAGACGGACAGGAAAGGTATGGCAGCACCCTCTGCAGTGGCCTTCGTCCGCATCAGAGCTCCCTGGATCGGGGCTGGTCCTGCTGAGGCCACCCACTGCCCTGCCCTCTCCTGTCCTCTCCGCCAGCCCTGAGCCAGTTGGGATGGTGGTGCTGCTGGGTCACCACAGAGAGAGCCCACCTGGGGGACCAGTGACCTGTGTTCAAAGCCAGACCTCCTCTTCCCAGTTCCCTCGGAGTGTGCCCCGTTGGTGCAGGGTGTCAGTGACCCCTAGGATCCTCAGGGTCGTCAGGAGGGCAGGGTTCCAGGGCAGAGGTTTGCCCTGTGGATAACAGGGAACGTGGATAACTCAGGTTTGCCCTGTGGATAACAGGGAACGTGGATAACAGGGAACGTGGATAACAGGGAACATGGATAACTTGCTGTTACCCTCTGTACTTTCCCTGACGTTTGAGCCGTTCCGTTACCCCCGATCGGAGCTCCTACGTGCCCTCCCCTGGGGCTTCGAGCAGGGGCGCTGCCCCCACGGGATCCCAACCCTCTGGGGACCTGGAGAAGCGGGGTCCTGGGCGGAGGCCTCTCGTTCCAAGTTGTTCCGAGTTCTGCCGGGGAGAGGAGGGGGCGGAGGAAGGTGCCCGGACCGTGCTTGACACGGGGGAGGGGCCGCTCCTCACTCGTGTTTTCTTTCCGCATCTTTAACGACGATTACAAGGGTGGGGTACCGTGGGGTACCATGGGTACCGTCACTGTTAGAGGCAGGCGTGGGAGGAGTTAAAACACCCCGTCTTGAACCCCTGACCCACTGATTTCATCTTTGTAAATGACCACGTCCCTGTGTTTTTACAGCGGGTTTCCCAAAGCGTGTTACACAGAATGGTTTTTAAATTAGGAAAGTAGGACGAAACTAATGTTTACATTGCAGGGAATTTGAAAACTAGAGAAAAAGCAGCAGCGGCCCCCATAGACTCACCACAGCCACTGCTCTGCCCTGCAGGGCTTCTTCATCCCGGGTCTTCGCCGGGGGCAGAGCCCGGCCCTGGAGGCTGAGTCCAAGTCCCAGCTGTGCCGTCCCCAGGCTCGGGCGGCCATTGGCTACTTCCCTCCGTCCCGCCTCAGCTGACTCCGCTTTCGAAGGGGCGCAGGGTGCCCAGCGACTGTGAGGCTGGAATGAGCTCAGCAAGCGTTTCTGCTCGCAGGCGGGCAGGCGGGCAGGCGGGCAGGTGGGCAGGTGGGCGAGTGGGCGGTGCTCGCGAAGTGCGCACTCGCCCCCAGGGACAGCCAGCCCTCCGCCTCTGCGCCAGACAGGTCAGAGCCCAGCCTCAGCCCTGCGAGGGAACAACTTCCGTTTCTGCGAAGGGCTGGAGTGGGAGCTGGCTGCAGTCCTCTGCTCTGAGCGGCAAAGCCGGCTGCGGCCCAGGCCAAGGGGGACTCTGCAGGCAGGGCAGCCTGAGAACCTTCCAGTCTGTGCCGACTGCGCCTGAGGGAGGCTGCTCTGCCAGCTGGGCTTCTGCCCGATTTTAGTAATGGAAAGGCTTCGAGGCTCCGGGAACCAGAGCCATTGTACCTGGGGCCGCTTGGGAGGGTGTATCCCACCCGCAAATAAATGGGGCTGCTGTGATTCTGGAAAGGTCAGGAATCCCTGACTAGAACCAGCCCCTCCGAAGGGAAGGGGAGGTCGGGGATGGGAGCGCCCGGCCCAAGTGCCCCCGACTGCTGGAGGCAGGCCCCTCCTAGTTGGCCCTGCCCTTCTCTGGCACCCCAGCGAGCCCATGTGCATAGCCCAGCAGCCCGCCACGCTCTGCCCCTCCCGCCTTTTCTTGGGCCTCTCGGTACGTGTTAATTACCAGGTCTTTGTTTCTGGGCACTGCCACCTTAACGCGTTACCTGTTGCTTAGCTTCCTGATCCTGCTGCCGCGTTTGAATCACTTTCTCTGCCGGGATGATTAGGACCCTTTGAACCATCAGGTCCTGGCCCAGACAAGAAGCTCTCGATGCCTCATCGGGGGCGGCACACGCTGGCAGCAGGTGTGCCCGTCCGCCCTCGCCGGCGGCGGGCAGCGCTAACCTGTGGCTCTCCCCTCCAGACCTGGTGCTGTACTGCGAGGCCTTCCTGACCACCTATAGGACCTTCATCGCCCCCGAGGAGCTCATCAAGAAGCTGCAGTACAGATATCCTTTCCCAGCCCCCGGCCCTGGCTCCACGCCTCGCACCACGGAGCTTTGGGAACGGAGAGAAGAGGGGCCCCCCGGCCACTCAGCCCTCAGGCAGGGATCTGTGGTGGGCAGCAGGGGTGCTCCGTCCTGCCCCACCATGTCCTGGCTTTGGGGCCTCAGGCAAGGCTTCGTCTGTGAACCTCTTTCCCATCTGTGAAAGGGCGGAGTGAGACTGCATGACGTGTCCGGAGCATAGAGCGTGCTGGCTGATGGTAGTGATAGCTGGGTGCTCCTGCAGCAGAATTAGAATTGCCGTGCCCTGGTGTCCGGAGCATAGAGCGTGCTGGCTGATGGTAGTCGTGATAGCTGGGTGCTTCTGCAGCAGAATTAGAATTGCCGTGCCCTGAGGGGGGGATCCTGCAGGTCCCCGCAGAGCCCCAGGTCATTGGTGCGATGGCTGTGTAGTGTCTCAGCCTTGAGAGGACCAAGACTCAAGGCTCAGACAGTCACGGCCACTCCGCCTGCTGGCCTGCCCGGTAGTGGACGGAAGCCACGTCCACAGCAGAGTTGGCCCCTCAATTACATTTGCCCGCAAGCTGGCCCTTTCAGACGACACTGCCTGCAGTGGTGGCTCAGGATAACCCTGGGCCTAGAAGGACCTACTCTTGATGCCTCTGGTCAGGTCCAGACCTGCCCATCCTGCCGACGCTAGCCTGGAGCTGCTTCTCCAAAAAGCAGGCCAGCTTAGGGTCCCCAGGCAACTTGGCTGCCTCCCTGGTTCACAGCCCGTGACTGCCCTCTGCTGGACAGCGTCCACCACTCAGGGCAGGAAGTCTGGAGACCAGGCTGGCTTCCTTCCCTCCCTGTGTGCCCCGAGGCTTCCCTGAGCTGCCTCCTGTCTCCTCCGGACCCCATGCCTTCCACTCTCCCCTCGCCCGGGCCCCAGAGGCTCCGGTCCCCCGGGACTGAAGTGGGTGGCGCACAGACAGGTTCTCCAGCCTCACACGTTCACTTGCTTGCAGACCCAGCTCCACCAACGAAAGTAACTCACACTCGTGGCGGACTTGCTGGTGTCGGGCCTGCTGCTAAGCATTTATACGTGTGACCCCACCCGCTATAACACCATTTTATATTTCACGGCCATGTTATTGCCGTGTTACTTACGGTGCTGTTATATTATTTCCTATATGTACTTAAGGAAACTGAGGCTCAGAGAGGTTAAATGACCCACGTGGCCATTTGTTGGGGGCGCATCCCCTTCCCGTCCCCCAGGCCTCTGACTCCAGAGCCGGGCTCTCAGCGCCTCCCCTGTTCAGCCACCTCCGGCGTGTTAATGGAGGTCAAGATCCTGAGCACAGCTGGCCAGTGAGCCCTCTGCAGCAGGCCCTGGGCACTGTCTCCGGCAGCCGGCTCCTTCCTGAGCACTGGGTCACAAGGCAGCAGGCAGGATGGAGTCAGAGAAGGGTCTGGGGGGTCGATGGTGAGCACAGGAGGACGGCAGAAACCGTGGCCCCAGGAGGAGCTGGAGGTGGCAGGTGGGGCAGGAGCAGGTGTCCCTCAGGTGGCCTCTGAAGTGTGGGGAGACGATGGGAACACATGTCAGGAGAGGAGCAAGACTCCTCTGGGCTGCACACGTACCGGGGTCGAGGTTCGGGCACGTGGTTTGTGACCACCTTTCTCTTCCTGAGCTCAGCGAGGCGGCCCGCGGTGTTTCAGGAAGTCTGACGGGAACCTCGGGTTGAACCGACCCAGGCCTGGGCGGCGCAGTGGGGACGGTTCTGCAGGCAGGAGAGGGTGGTGGCTGAGAAGAGTCTGGGGTCTGGGCTGAGTCCCACGTTGCGGCCCTGCCCCCTGCACAAGTGCTGTGCCCTCCCGTGCCCTCGCTGCTGGATGTCGCCGCCTCGCCCCCAGGCTTCCTGGCACCAGTGAGCGGTGGCTGGGAGGGGCGGCCCCCCACTGACGCCACGCGTCCCCGCCCACGTGAGCATGGTGGTTTCCTTAACTCGCCCTCCACGTACGAGAAGTTCTCTCCGTTTGCTGACACATTCAAGAAGCGGGTCAGCAAGAACACGTTCTTCGTGCTGGTGCGGGTGGTGGATGAGCTCTGGTGAGTGCTCCGCCCTCCAGACCGGGGGAGGAGTGGGGAGGAGCCCAGCAGGCCTCGGGCATCACGGGGCTCCTGCCGGGCCGCACACTTCTCTGCTGAGATCGGGGCCTCCTGGCACGTTCCACCTGCTTCTCCCGAGTACGTGCCCACAGCCCTGGACGGAGCTCACCCCTGCCTGCTTTAACATGACCCTCGGGAAAATGACCTGTTGCCTCAGACCGGCCCCGGCCCGCAGCGTGCTTTCCTCATGGGGGCCATGTGCCCCGCACGTAACTCACTTAGTCCGCAGTGGCCGCGCGCTGAGCCACCAGCAGTGGTGGACACGCCTGCTGCCCTCCTGAGCTCCCGTGCGCCCTGACACGGTGCTGTCCATGTCCGTTCACCCAGTGGGCCCCTCCCCAGGCGGGCGAAGGAAACCGCCCAGGCCCTGCCCTCCTGCTGGGGGATCGGCTCAGCCAGCGCCCACAGGCTGCGGCACCGCAGGCATGGCGTTCTGTGCGGGGGAGGGCCAGGGTGTCCTACGCGCGTCTGGCCTGAGGGCCAGGACCCCTTACGACTCCTCGCCCGTGGAGCCAGGAGCCCGTCCGGGCAGGATTTGTGTGGGATTTGTCCACAGCCCAGGCCCCGCATGGGCTCTGCTGCTGGTCCAGTGCCAGCAAGTGTTTGCTGGTTACCGGTGGGACCGCCCCAGCACTCTGGGGGTGCAGGCAGCTGTCCCAAGCCTTTTCTCTTGCTCTCTTCCCGTGAGAGGTTTCCGGCTCTGCTGATGGCTGCCACGTGGCCCTTGGGCATTTTGAGGTAGTTTCTGCACCCAGTGGCAGCCATCTTCTTCCTGTCCTGTATTCCTGCCCCTCACCCTGTGGCCTTGGCCTTCAGCCTAGTGGAGCTGACGGAAGAGATCTTGAAGCTGCTGATGGAGCTGGTCTTCCGCCTGGTGTGCAGCGGCGAGCTCAGCCTGGCCCGCGTGCTCCGGAAGAACATCCTGGACAAGGTGGACCAGAAAAAGCTGCTCAGGTGTGCCAACTCCGACCAGCCGCTGGCCGCCAGGGGAGTGGCAGCCAGGTGAGCCGCCGGCTGCCCCTGTCCATCCGTGGCCGCCCAGCCCCGTGTCCTCTGGTGAGAGCTGTGCCCAGGAGCTGCCTCTCAGTCCATTTCTTGTAGCGCATTCCCCAGCCCCACAGCCTCACACCCTGGTCCTGCCAGGCCCGGGGACAGCCCGATGGCTGGGCCTCTTCTCCAGGTTGTGTTGTGTGACGAGTCGCCTTTGGACCAGGAAGTGGGGCGCCAGGGCGTGCGGGGCCTTACCAGGACAGGAGACAGATGACCGTGTTGCGGGCTGTGGTCAGCCCTTCTCTGCATTAACACAGCAGCTGTTAACTCTCGCTGTGCCGTCCTGAACGTTCCTGAGAACCCGTATGAAGGCTCCAGTCTGTTACCTGCTTCCTCCCCACCCCTTGTACCCCAGCCACAGATGTTTGTTGACTTATCACCTCGTTTGTGAGTGTTGTAGCCTTCATTCACATGACACCATCTCTGTCCCCACCAGGCCCCGGAAATGGGGCCAGGCAGGAGGTTCTCGAGCAACTGAGCTGTCCATGGGCCCAGATGGGGCCCACAAGATCCACCAGCAGAGGCAGGAGAGGGTGGACGGCATGGCAGCCTCTTAGCTCCGAGGCCACAGTGCAGGACCAGCCCAGCTCCCGCGTCCTGTCCACGCACCGCTCATCTCGTGCTCTGTCTTCCAGGCCGGGGACCTTGCATGATTTTCACAGCCATGAAATAGCCGAGCAGCTGACACTGCTGGATGCTGAGCTCTTTTATAAAATAGAGGTATGGCATCGAACGGGCGGGGGGAGGGCTGCTTGTCCCTGAACGAGAGAAACTGTCCCGTCACAGGGAAGCCAGAGGGCTCCAGCCCTATCCAGTCTGCTTCCTTTTTCAGATTCCTGAGGTTTTGCTTTGGGCAAAAGAGCAGAACGAGGAGAAGAGCCCCAACCTGACCCAGTTCACGGAGCACTTCAACAACATGTCCTACTGGTAAGAGGGGCCTCGGGCCGAGGGCCCAGTTCCCGTGCGGTGGCACATCTGGGTGGGCCGCTGCTTCCTTTGCAGGGAGGAGGAGGTGCCCCGGGGAGGAGGTGCCTTGCATCCTCCCAGCTCCTTCCGAGGCCCTGTGGCATTAACCGTGAACCGTAGGCAGCGGAGAGTGAGGGCACGGCCGGGACGGGCCGCGTCTGGCACGTTGGAAGGGGCCGTGCGAGGGCTGGTCGCGGAGGAGTCACACGCAGCAGGGAGCGCCAGGTTGCGTACTAACGTCTGCTGTAGGCGGTGGCAGGGGACAGGGTGTTACGTTTGCTTCACTGGAGCAGAAGAGGCAAAGCAGACTGGCGCTTCCTCCAAGTGACCAGCAGTGGCTGCTGTGAAGCCATAGCGGGTCCTGGCGTGAGGCTGGATTCGGCTTCGGTTGCCACCGAGATTCTGAGAGGTGCCCTCGTCTTGTCTGCACGGCGGCCTCTGAACCCACTAGCTCTGCCGAGCTAGTGCTGAGGCCACGCGCGCAGTGCTCCCCGCCTCAGTGGGGCTCGGGGTCAGCACGTGGTAGGAAAGCTCTTCTTGATCCTCCAAAGCTGTCGTGGGTGTGGTCAGGTCCCCATCCCTGTGGCGGGCACCCACCGGCCACCAGATTTCTCTGTGGCCTCTTGCCTCTCTGGGATGACGTGAGCTCCCTGAGAACAGAGACGAGGGCTACACTTGGTGCCTCGCAAGCCCTGGGCACTCGGTGGGCGTGGGCGTGTGACCAGCTGCTGCACATGTTCGCCTCCCCCTGCGCCGGGGCCACCCAGGAGCCTGAAGGAAGAGATCGGCTCGGCCATTGTCTTCTCTTTGGTTGGTACAGGGTCCGGTCGATAATCATGCTTCAGGAAAAGGCCCAGGACAGGGAACGGCTGCTCCTGAAGTTCATCAAGATCATGAAGGTAGCCGTGGCACTGCCCAGAGCCCGCCCCTCCAGGCCCTGCCCCGGGAGGCGGGAGGCCCCAGGCCGGCCACCCTGCCCTCACGGCCACCTCGCCTCTCTCTGCAGCATTTACGGAAGCTCAACAATTTCAACTCCTACCTGGCCATCCTCTCAGCACTGGACTCGGCGCCCATCCGCAGGCTAGAGTGGCAGAAGCAGACCTCAGAGGTGAGCGGCCGGGGAGGGAGCCAGGAGGTGCATGGCCCTGGGTGGCGGCTATGGCAGGGCGTACTCAGGAGTGGAGACCTGGTCTCAGGTCCCTGCTCTGCCACCAGCCTGCTGGGTGACCGGGGCAGCCCATCCCACCTTAGTCTCCTGTTTCCAACCTCCAGTCATTGGCCCCTGCGGGCCTTCGAGGTTGGCGCTGGGGTTGTTACGTAGTGGAGTCCTGCCGCCTGCTCCTCGGGCCTGTACCTGGGTCCTGGCTTCACCTGCTCCTTCCTCGGCCCATGCTTCTGGAGGGGCCGCTTTGGACTGGGGCCACGTGGGCACTGGGGCTGTTCTGTGATCAGGCCAGATGTCATATTGGGTGGCTTATTGGGTAAGTGTTAGAGGGAGGAGGATGGGGCACTGAGCGACCATGTGACCGCGGTCCGGCCTGGAGTCCAGGAGCCCCCTGAGAAAGTGTTGGTCTCGCCAAGACCTGAACAGGGGGTTTCCTAGGAAAGGAGGGGAGTCCCTGTCGGGGGACAGAGGAGTGCACAGACCAGGGGAGGTGGGAGCTGGTGGGGGCCTGTCCCCCCCATGCAGCAGGACAGAGGCCAGCATGGCCACAACACTGGGGAGGGGACCGGCTCTAATCACAAGGGCCTTGGGAGCCTGGCGAGGAATTGGACCTTTATCCTCTGTGGGAGCTGTCCCTTCAGAAGGGAGGCAAAGCCCACAGGGCTGAGCCTTGGCTGGGCCACCCGGGGAGTCATCTCACAGGACGACATAAAGGGACAGTTATAAAACAGTATTGTTTGGAGAAGAGGGACATTCACACTGGTTGCTCCAGGGACTCACAAGAGGTCCTGAGGAGGCAGGCTTCCTGGAGGTGGTGACGCACCAGGGTGAGAGGCACCTAGCAGGTGAAGAGGCAGGCAGCTAGCGTTCCAGGCAGGGGCAGGGTTGGCCGAGTCCCCTGGGCGAGAACCCTATGCTGCTTGCAAGAGCGGTGAGGCGCAGTCACCTGCCCACACTGGTGGACTGGGCCTTGAGAGCAGTGAGGAACAAAGGCAGGCTTGGGGGTGCAGTGACACAGTTCGGTGGGTGCTTCAGGAGCTTGCTTGGGCTGCAGCACAGAGCAGAACCAAGCAGGGGCCCAGGCTCCGGGCCCTGTACACACGGTGGGTGCCAATTAAAAAGAGACACGGTCCTGAGCCGGCATAAGCTTGTCCCCAAAAGGCCTGGTCTGCCCGCGGCCAGGGCTGGGGCCGGGCCTGGTTCTGGGTTCGTGTGTATGGGCGCCCGCGAGCACTGGCAGAGGGTGTGTGAGGAGTCGGTGGGCGGGGAGCGGCCATGCGCCATGCCGGTGCTGAGACCGTGCGTGCCCGCTGCCCAGGGCCTGGCGGAGTACTGCACGCTGATCGACAGCTCATCCTCCTTCCGTGCCTACCGGGCCGCCCTCGCAGAGGTGGAGCCGCCGTGCATCCCGTACCTGTGAGTAGAACCCCCGCCTGGGCTTGCCCCCCAGTTTCTCTGGGGGTGATCTATCGCGCTCCCTGAGAGAAACTCTGCTTAGAGGTTTCCAACTGAGATGATTGTACTTTAACTTTCAATCATGTAGCAAGAAGCCTGTTTTACTTTTAAACTGAAAAGAGGCGTCCAGTGAAAACGGTTCCGTCTTTCCTGTCTCCCAGCCGTGCTCCCAGTTCCTGCCCTGACTGGCCCCTTAGCACGTTCAGGCGCGCGGCGTCCTGCCATACTCCAGCAGTCCTCAAACCTGGCTGCATGCTAAACCGCCTGAGGGACCCCGAGAGCACCTGGCATGAGAAGCTCCGAGACTATGTCCCCGGCGTGGAGCAAATAGGTGTTTCCTGGGAAGGGTCCCCTGGTCACCTAAGCATGAGAAAATCAAAACTGAACAGGCTTCTTTGGTGCAGGTCTCATCAACGCCCTTAGCACGCTAGTGGACACAGACTCTCCCGAGAGGGACAGAAGAGTCGGCACTGTCCCAGGGCGGGGCGTTTGATGAAACATCCTGCGGAGACACACACGCCCGGCCTGTGCCACGCCCCGCCGCAGCCCCACTCCCCAGCCTTTCGGCCCTCAGTGCCGGCCCACTTTCCCATCAGGCTGTGGGAGGGTCAGCCAGGCCTCCCTGGGTGGAAGGACTGCCCGTCACGCATCCTTCGTGCTTACAGGCACCTTCCTGAACCTGCTAACGAGCGGCGCTCTCCGCTCTACCCCTGCTTTGGGGTTTCGTTATGTTTTCCTGTGCGTTTATGAATTTTGCATGAGCAAACCCACAGCTCTTCCAGCTTCCGCTGCAGCAGGTGGTCCCTGACAGCCCTCTGCAGGCCGGGACAGTCCCTGGAGGGCCTCTGCAGCAGGTGGGCACCGGAGCCTCCGGGACCCGGCTTTCCCAGGGGAGTCGGGCATCCACGCCGGAAGAAGCGAACACATCTCAGGGTGCCCGTGGCCTTGGTAGCTGCTCGGGCACGGCCCCGAGGCCTGGGCCCGGTCAGGCGGTGGCTCCTCTGGTGGCTCAGTTGACCCAGCCACCTGAGTCACTCTCCAGAGGTAACCGGGCCTCTCTGTCCTCCCAGGGGGCTCATCCTGCAGGACCTCACCTTCGTTCACCTGGGAAACCCAGACTATATAGATGGCAAGGTGAATTTTTCCAAACGGTGGCAGCAGTTCAACATCCTGGACAGCATGCGGTGCTTCCAGCAGGCGTGAGTGCTGCGGGCCGGGGGGCGCTTCCGGACCTCCGCTCCGGGACTGGGCCGAGGTGGGAGGTGACAAGGGACCTGCTCCGTCCAGTCTGGCAGGGGGACATGACAAAGTGTGCAGCACGGGCTCAGCACAGCGTGGCCCATGTCCTGCACCCGGCTGTCCTCTCGTTTCCTGCACAAGGAAGCTGGTGGCCGGCCTGGCTATGAGGGGGAGGTTGGGGAGCTCTGGCCCACCTGAATCCGGGGCGGTGGGGGGCAGGCCCAGATGCAGGGGTGCAGCTCGAGGAGACTGTGCAAGGAGCAGAGAGCACAGCTTTAGGGGCCAGTCCCTGCTCCGCGTGCCGGGGGCCGCCATGTAGAGTGCAGGCAGCAGCGGCCCGTGCCGCATCAGCTTGCTGGGACTGCGCCCGCATCACCGCCTAGAGCCCACGCGCTGCTGCCCACACTGGCTCTCACCGGCTGCCCTCCTCCCCCCACCAGGCATTACGACATCCGGCGAAACGACGACATCATAAACTTTTTCAATGACTTCAGTGACCACCTGGCCGAGGAGGCCCTATGGGAACTCTCTCTGAAAATCAAACCCAGAAACATAACAAGGAGGAAAACAGACCGGGAAGAGAAGACCTAAGGGCAGGTGCCGGAGCGAGGAGAGCGCTCAGGAGAGGCTCAGCGGGCGGCTCCGAGACCGGAAGGGACTTTGGACCTGTTAGGTGGCAGCAGCGAGCGCCCGGCCTCAGAGCCACAGGCCGGCCGGGCCGGAGCCCGAAGCCTGCGGCCGCGCCCACAGCCCACGGCGGAGCCGGCAAGCAGGTCTCGTCGCTGATCGTGAACTGGTGGTTTTCTCTCTTGGTTTTGGTTTCTGCCTTCGCTTCTGTCTTCCCCTCTCCCCCTTCTGCCCACTCCCCCTCCGCCCGGGAGCAGCACAGGGGTGTCACCGGCAGCCAGATGTCCCCAGAACAGCGGGGGTCTTCACTCCTCCCTGAGTCCCAGGGTCTTGCGTTTGCCGAAATGACAAACGAACGAAGGCTCAAGGACCCTTTTGGGGGCTGCGCTCCTAGCAACCTCGAACAAAGGGGACATTGAGTTGGGTGGGCAGGGAGCACAGGAGACGGGGGAGGCTAGTGAGCGGCTCAGATGGCCCAGAAAGGTACGTCAGGTGATGTCTCAGCAGCCCTGGGGCTGGCGCTGCTGCCACGGTACTGGCCCCAGCTGCGCTGCTGCCCGTGGGCGCCCCAGGGCCCCCCCTTGCTGAGCCGTGAGCAGTAGGAGTGGCGTCTGCCATCTTTTTGTCCCTTCGTCTCCCCCACCTGACGCTGCCAGCCCTCCCCACACCATCCAGCGTCACGGGGGCTGGGAGGAAGGGGTGGAGCCAGGGAGGACCTTGCCATCCAAGAAACATGTCTTACCTGAGTGGGGGCCAACAGCTCCCGGAAGGTTCGTTCAGAGAGGGGAGAGTGGGGGGGTGTTTCTGTCCTGGGGGGGCGGGGGCCCTCGGCCGCGTGCCCTGTGCCTTAAACTCCTGCCCGCGGGCCCCACCTGCCTGCTCCATCCAGGTGGGTGGCAGGGGTGACTCTTGCTCACCAGAACTGTCCATCAGTGCTCACGCTCCCCTGGGAAGGACGAGTGTCCCTGGGGGACCAGGCCCTCCCCCTACGCAGCAGTCACGTCCCCTCCCCCTCGTCACACCCACTCTTGCTGCCGAGGTTGACAATCTGAGGCTAGGTCTGTAGGCTCCGCACACAGGTGCCGGCCGGGGCCTCCCATGGCCAGGGTGCCGCGCCAGCCGACGTGGGCCTGCGGGCGGGGCTCCCGTGCCAGCCCAACAGCTGCCCTGTGTCCCGCTTTGCGTGATGGAGTGCTCACTTCTCCTGGGGTTGGAACTTGGTCAGTAGACGCCGGTCTGACTGTGCTTAGCCCAGAACAAAGCAAAGCAGCAGCATCCACGGCTGTTGATGATTTAGATTTGGCTTTTAAAGAAACCACCATGTCCCTTTGAGTCCCTCACGGGTTTTTGAGCAGCTTGGATTGAGACAACTTGGGCTGGTCTTTATTCTTTCTGTTCGTCCTGTACATAGAGGGGAGGAGTCTATGAAATGTCGGTTCCGGTCCCCCAGCGGTGACCCTACCGGTGGCCGGCCGGAACGCGTCACTTTATTATTTAAGGAGCGTGTGTACAGAGTCGCTGTTTCTTAACAGTAGCGTGTGCGGGGTTGGGTTTTACTTTGTTCCGGATTTTTTTAAGTGCTCTCATTTCAGTCTCTCCCTCCCCTTGCCGGCCTCGCCCCGCTCTGCCGAATGCTGCCGTGCGTGCTCGGGGACCGCTGGGCACTCGGGGCCCGTGGACGTGGGAACTGTGGTCCCCCCCGCGTTGCAGAGGGCCCCTGGGGTCTCCTGTAGCACGGGCAAAATCTAACAGTGTTTCGGTCTCAGAACCCAGCCGCTCATGGACGGACGCGCGTCTGCGCCCCTCCGCCTTGTTCTCAGCCACGAGCTGGACCGGGGCGGTGGGGCTCAACAGACCTGCACCCACACATCACCCCCCTTCAGGAGCCCTCGGCGGTCTGAGCAGAGGGGCCGGCGTGTCCGGTGACCCCTGCTTGAGGACAGCAGGTGTGACGTGCGTTTTAACTTACTGGCTGACAGGCACCGCACGCCGCACCTCACTGACACCCTCTTGGCTCTAGGGGTTGCCAGACCCCAGGCCAGCGCTGCAGCCTGGCCGCCGTTTGTCTGTCTTGGGGGCTGGGCATGGGAGTCGGTCCTCAGACAGACAGACGAGACGCGATCGGGCCGGTTTGGCCCCCTGCAGAGAGTCGGAGCTCCCTGCGGGTGCGGGTGGAGCCAGGGAACGGGCAGGCACGTGCCGCGTCTGAACGGCACCCCAGTTCTGAGAAGCGCCTCCCCCACACCTCCCCAATGTTACATTGTAATATATATTCCCAACTAACCTGGCTGATAGTGGCATCTTCCTGCAGACATTTCAAACCTGTAACTTTTATATGAAAGGAAAATAAACACGTGAAAGCCGCCAATGTGTGTGCAGCACGTCACATATGTCTAAGTGACAGTCAGTTCAAGCTGTCTCCTTTTTCTGCGACCTCCCCGCAGACAGGGCTCCTGGTGCACAAAGGGCACAGGTCACTTACCCCGGACCCGCTGGCTGCTGCGGGGGCGGTTCCGGCAGAAGAGGATGTAGTCCCTGGCATCAGCTTATTTAGGCGGCCTGCCGAGTCCCCTCGAGCCTAGGGGCTGCATGCTTAACCAGCGCCCTAAGGGGCTCGGATCCAGGCCCACCCACAGGTGGGCTTCTGAGGCGCAGCGGCCATGTAGCCCATCATGCCTTTGCTCGCTGGGGTACATGATTTAGGAGCCACGTGAGAGAAACTTTGGGTCAGTCTCACCCTGCGTTTGCTGGGGACATGCTAAAGGAGCCTGGCCCTTGGCTGATACGGGCTTCGGTCCTGGCTCTGCGGCTAATGAGCCAGGTGACCTCAGGTAAGTGGTCCCTTCTGTTCCCTCGTTTCCCCAGCTGAAGTGAGGTGATGCCCGCTTCTATCTCATAAGGTCCACGAAAGCCCAGTGAGCGTCTAGTGAGCTGCCGCCACACGAGCATGTGTCAGCACCGGGCGCTTTGCAAACGGCTTCACCCCATTCAGGCCTCTTAATTTGAAAATCACACAAGCGAAACATTTACAGCCGCGTAAGTGCTACAAAGAAGAGGTACTTTAAATCTGCTTTGAAATCCACTCACAAACATCAGGTCCAGACAGGCTTAGCAGGTAATTTATGCGAAGCAGATAACTTCAGCCTTCCACAAACACCAAGAACAGATGGGAAGACGTCTCAACCCCACTTACGAGCAGAATACGACCTTGACGCCAAACCCAGACAGTGCAAGATAATTACAGGCAAATGACAATGCAAAAACTCAAGTATCTTAGCAACCCCAATACGCCCCGACCAAGTCGGGATGAGAGGCGTCAGTAAGCTGGTGAGCGCACTTGACCCTGTATGCTAGACCCGGATGTGGGCGGGGCGCCCCCATCTAGTGTGCTGCTCCTTCCTAAGTGCAAGGAAGACCACTTCCCAGCCCCTTCCAGGTAGGCCCGGCCCGTGAGATCTGAGGAGCAGGTAAGTGTCACTTCGGGCTGGGGACTTGAGAATGAGTGTGCCACTTCCATGCTCTGTCCCCACCATGACGCAGATTCCAGGGGTTGACAGAGTCCCAAGCAGAGGAAGCCCAGACAGGGACCACTCCCACTTTCCCACACTGGACTCTACCTGAATGAAAAATGAACTTGTGCTAAGCTATTGGGACTTCAGGGTTTATAACGTTCCACAACGCGGCCTAGCCTCTCCTGAAGGCACCATGTTCACAGACACCATGTCATGTCAGGAAGGCCTCTGTTAAGAAACGCGACAGCCATTCACAATTTCTAACCAGAAAGCGAAAAACTCCCTTAATCTTATGTTACCCTCCAAAATCCTACGCCAGATTATACTTAGCGGTGAAATATTCAAAGCGGCCCCTTTAAAATCAGAATGAGGTAAGGATCCCACTAACGACCTGTCTGCTGCTGTACCGGAGATCCTAGCCAAGGCAGCACGGAAACTCTGAGATTTCTGAGAGAATCTAAGAGATGGTTGGATGTACAATCAGATAAAAAATGAAACATGTTCCTACATACAATCAAAAATTAGAAAACAATTCTTAAAGGATCCCATTTATACTGGTGTCACAAAGTCTTAAGATACTAGGAATAAACCCAACAAAAGATGTGTAGAAAAAAATGACAATCCAACAAGAGAATATAACATTTGTAAATGTTTATGTACCCAACATTGGAGCACCTAAATTTAGAAAGCAAATACTAACATCTAAAGGGAGAAACAGACAGCAATACAGTCAAAGTAAAGAACTCTGCTACACCACTTACAGCATCCAGACAGAAAAGTCAATAAGGAAACATCCTTAAATAATACTTTGTGCCGTGTGCACTTAACAGATATACAGAACATTCCATCCCAAACCAACACCTTCTCAAGCACACAGGGAACATCCTCTAGGATAAATCCTGTGTTGGGCCACAAAACAGATCTTACTAAATTTAAGAAGACTGAAGTCACATTGTCCATCTTTTCCGACACGACGGTCTGAAACTAGAAAGCGATCACAGGAAAACTGGAAAATTCACAATAGGTGGAGATTAAACAACATGCAACTGGACGACCAATGGGTCAAAGAGGAAACCAAGAGATCAGAAAATACCTTGAGATAAGTGAGAACGGAAATACAACATGCTAACACTTACGGGATGCAGCAAAAGCAGTTCTAAGAGAGAAGTTCATAGCAATAAATGCCTCGCTACATCAAGAAACAAAAATCTCAAACAGCCTAACTTTACACCTTAAGGAACTAGAAAAAGAACAAAGCCCAAAGTTACTAGGAGAAGGAAATAAAGATCGGAAATGGAAATAAATAAAATGGAGACTAAAAAGGCAATAGGAAGGATCGATGAGATGAAGAGCTGATTCTTTGAAAAAATAAAATTGGCAAATCTTTAGATTCACAAAAAAAAAACACCTCAAAATCAGAAATGAAAGAGATGGTACAACAGATACCACAGAAATGCGAAGGACCGTGAGTCCACGATGAACAACTATACACCAACGAATTTGACAACCTAGAAGGAATGGATCAATTCCTAGAAACCTACAGCTACCAAAACGATCATGAAGAAATAGAAAATCTGAACAGACCAATTGCTTGTAAGGAGATTGAATCAGTAATCAGCCTTCCAACAAGATCTAGAACCAGACGGCTTGCCTGATGAATTCTATCAGTCAGCGAAGAATTACAATCAATTCTTAAACTCTTCCAAAATGTAGATGAGGAGAGAACACTTCCAAACTCATTTTACAAAACCAGCGTTGCCAGATACCAAACCAGACAAGGACACCAGTGCCTGCATCTAATGTACGACTCACCTGGGCTGCATAAAGAACTCTGAATCGATAAAAGACAATCCAGCATCAAAGAGACTTGAACAGGCACATCAGAGAAAAAGATATCCAAATAGCCGATAAACATAGGATAAAAGGCTCAACATTAGTCATCAGAGAAATGCAGGTTAAAGCCACACCGAAATGCCACTCCAGTTTTAACCACCAGACGTGCTAAAACTTGTAAGACCGACAAATCCCAGGGGTGGATGAGTATGAGGAGCAACCAGAACACCATCCACTCCTGGTGGGCTGCAGCCCCACAGCCTCTCACTGGGCTGTAACGTGCATGTGCTCACAGCTTCCTCGGCCAGGCTCCTTCCCACTGTCAGGTGAAACCCCCAAGCCACACTAGAGTTCCCTGACAAACGTTTTAACACCTCTGAAGTCAGGATGCACCTCATCGGAATTTTTCTGTTGCACTCAACGTTTCAGATTCGCCCCAGCTACCTCTCCACCGCGGGAGCCTCGGGCCAGCAGGCTGAATCCTAAACCTGGAATTGCTGAGTCGAAAGGCGTGCACATTTCAGCTTGTGTTTTAATTACAGCACACACGAATACATCCTATTTTTAAATTCAGCAACGCATTGCACAGCTCCTAGTCCCCGGGCCGCCACTATCAGCAGTTTGGAAGTCCGTGTTCTTTGCACATACATGCACATAAATACATGCTACATATGTTACTAAGACACCATCAGTCTACTTCCCACAAAGGCTGTGGCTGCATACCCACCAGTAACACATGCGAGGCTCTGTGTCCAGTCCTTCCCCTGTGGATGTATTCAAGCTTTCTCGTTTTTTTCTTAACCTGATAAGTAAAATCAACTCATGGTTTAAATCTGTACTTTTCTGAAGTCAAACCTCAGGCTTCCCCTCTCTGGTTCTCCTCTCTCCGTTCTCCCCAGCACCCTGGAGCTGGGTGTCCTCCTAAGCTGCCTTCTGGGGCTAGAGCTTTATACTGTACTTCGTTAACCCATCTGGATTTTTGCATACGAAAATATTTTTTTCCAACCAAACAGGCAACTCTGCTTCATATGAGCCCCCCCTGACTCCATTAAAATGCCTCTTTGATCAGATAGTAACTCCCCATACATACTTAGGATGTTTGCTGGACTTTGTTATTTTTCACTGATCTGTCGCTGTCTTGGTTATTGTAGCTTTATGGTAAGTTTTACTATCTGGTGAGGAAAATCTACCCTCATTCAACATTTTAAAAACGTCATTAGCAGTTTTTATACGTTTCCTTTCCATGTTAATTTTTAAAAACATTTTTGTCATAGTTTTAAAAACTTGGTTTTCTTGTTGGAATTTCATTAAATTTCTTTAAAGAGACTAGATATTTTTATAATAGTACATCTTCCTATCTATTTTGTTCAGCTTATTTGTTTTTGGTTTTTTGATAATTTTTTAAAAAGCGTTTTCTTCACTCGGGTCCAGATCATTATTAACTCCTAGATTTTACTGTTTTTATCACTATAGTGGGTGGAATTTAAAATATTTCCCACTTTTAACTGATTGTTGCTATTCACTATTGTATATTTCTTTTGTACCCAACTATTTTACTGAGTTCTCTTGTCCTGATTTTTTCATTGGCTCGGGGATTCTAGCTAGAAACTCAAGTTGTCTCCTAATTTTCACATGACAGATTTCACTTCGTTTTTACATTAGCTAGAACCTCGAAACAATGTGGAGTAGTAGACAGTAGGGGGCACCCATGGGTTGATCCTGATCATAACAGGTTTTAATGGTTTTAATTTCCCACTTAACGTGCCCGTAGCAGCCGCAGCAGATACCAAACCAGACAAGGACACCAGTGCCTGTATCTAATGTAGGACTCACCTGGGCTGCGTAAAGAACTCTGAATCGATAAAAGACAATCTAGGACTCACCTGGGAGCTCATTAGAAATGCAGACTCTCATTGACCAAATCAGTCTGCATTTTAATAAGATTTCCCAGGTATTTCACATATAAAGGTTAAGGAATGCTAGTCTAAGTACTTAAGAGTTTAGTAAGAACACCTGCGGCTGTTAAATTCTACCAAGTACATTTTGGCATCTATTGATCCCTAAAAAATTGTTTCCACCTTTTTTGTGGCTGCCATACGTTTTAGTTTTTGACGTCCTGAATCGGGACCAGCCCTGTGGCCCAGAACGCGAGGCCACCTGTCAGGGTCCCAGCACCGTAGCTCATCACTTACACCCTCATCCACTCCTCACCAGTTCCCTGGCACCTCAAGGGCTGAGATGGGACAGTGTGCGTCAGCTCCCGGTGTTCCGGCTGTGAGCAGCACACAGTGGGTGCGCAGAAAGCACCCAGTTCAACTTGAACTGTCAATCTTCTATGGCTCAGTGGAGGCCCCCTTCTCTCTCAGTGCTCATGGTTTTTAACTGTCAAGTCACAGGCCCATTTGAGGATCTGGTGACAGCTCCAGACTCCTCCCCAGGAAGACGCCCATGGATGGGTTCCTGTCTGCCCTGGCCGTCCCGAAGCTCATGGTAAACCCTTACCCCCCAGGCTCCCATCACTTTTGGCTGTGGAGGTCCCAACAGAATTTCCTGCCGCCCGTACCCAGCAGCTGCGCTCCCGAGGCGCCCACCACAAGCCAAGCCCTGCGCTGGACACCCCGGGGTTCTCTCACTGAGTCCGTCTGTGCCTCCAGGGGGCAGGTTGTGCCATCGCCCCAATTTCCTTGAGAAACAAGAAACCGAAAGCAAGGACTGTTCTCGGGGCTGGATAAGCCGCGACAGTGACTGTCAGTTACAAGTCCCCCGCTGGGAGTTCCCTGGGGACCCTCCTCTGCAGACGGTTTGAATCTTGGTAAGATGAGGGGCCGTTCTCAGACCACAGCCAACTGGACTGGGGTGCCAGGCGTCTGACAAGGGCACCAGTGTACAGACAGCTCTGTAGGCTGTCCAGCAGCCTCTGGGGTGACCTGGTGACAGTGCTTCCCAATCAGAGTCACCCTCACCACATGGGGACCCAACTGATCTTCCATCTTTGGGCAATAAAGTTAGGGACAGAGAGAGCAGAAAACGCAGCTGGAGCGGGCAGAGCTGACGCGCCCGTAGGAAGAGGTAGTGAGCGGAAGCCAGGAGGCAGCGAGGAGAAAGTTTCTGGTCAAGAAGCCCCTGGAGAAGTCGGTCTAGGGAGAAGCATATTGCACCTCGGGGGCCGCACAGTGAGCAACACCCGGGCACCCACCAGAGCTGCCCGTGTGCGAACGGCATCTCGGGCGCGGGCTGGGAGCCAGCTGTTGGCAGATGCCGCTGGCCCGACAGCCAAACGCTGCCCTGTGCAGTTCTGCCCAGGGTGGTGGCCTTATTTATGGGCCAGACATGGGGGCCTCAATTTCTGGACAAGGGGACAGCATGAGAGAGTCTGTCCCGGGATGGGGCAGAGGCGCAGAACCACCAGCCAGGAGCTGCCCATGACCCCACCGCAGCTCCGCCCGGCGATCACCGAGCTAGGCTGGAGGTGGGGAGGCCGGAGTTTGCAGCGTCCTTCCTGACGGCTCAGCACGGTGAGAGCTCCGGTCCCTCTGATGGTGTCCCAGGGGTAAAGTAAAGGCAAGGGCCACGGGGCCCAGGCAACACAGTCCCAGGAAGACCTCAGGAGAGGCGCCGAAGACGTGGGCCTCTGGGAGCCCCATCCCACAGCTGGGCCTGGGCCCGGGGGCCACCTCAGATTAGGACACCGCCCGAGGCCACCCATAGGGGCCGAAGCCCAGCCACAGTTGGACAAACCCCACCCTCTTCTGCCCCTAGCTCCCCTCCGTAGGCAACAGCGACCAGCAGGCATAAAAGTCCACAGAGTCCGGCCGGGTCGGGTGTCCCTGGGCCTCCTGGCATCCCCGAAGGAGCCACTAGTCCTCAAGGGAGGTAGAGAGCCACCACCACGTAGATGACCCAGCTGGTGGACACGAAGACCCCGAAGAGCAGGCTGAAGAGCACGAGCGAGCGCGCCTTGCGAGAGGCCTCCTCGGCCTGGGCCAGGTCGCCCCTGCTCAGGGCGGCACGGGTCTGCAACGAGACGGGGCGAGGGGCAGGGTGAGGGGGGCAGACGCGAGAGCCCGCTCCTGCCCGCTGCAGCCCCGTCGGGGCCAGGCCCTGCCCCGTGCGCAGACCCGGAGGTGGGGACCTGCCCAGGCCACCGCGCATAAGGGAGCAGGAGCAATGGACGTGATGGCTGCCAGCTCGGGCACTCGCCGGGGGCCTGGAGCCACGCTTTGGCCTCACCTACAGTCCTCACAACTCCCCTGAGGCTGCTGTCCGTGTTGCCCCCGCTTTGCAGATGAGGAAGCAACGTCTCAGCGAGGTTAAGGGACCCACCCAGGGCCACACAGCTGATGGCGGAGCCAGAATTCACAGGCAGGCAGTGGCGTCCAGAGCCTCACCTCTAAGCTGTCTGGAGAGCTGCCTACAGTCCCCGCTGGCTTATGACTGGGGGGCCTGATGAGTCGGGGTGTCAGGGCTATGGCCAGGTGAGCCGCAGGCAGCGCCCCCACAGGCTTGCCTACTCTGTCTACTAGAACGTTCTCACGTTGGCGTCACTGAGCCCAGAGTGCAACCTAGCGCAGGGGTAACCGTCAGGAGGGGAGACAGGACGGAGCGAGCTAGCACGACGGTGGGCGGGCAGGGCGTGAACGGACAGGTGGCTAGACAAACGTCCGGCTATGGCCAGGTGAGCCGCAGGCAGCGCCCCCACAGGCTTGCCTACTCTGTCTACTAGAACGTTCTCACGTTGGCGTCACTGAGCCCAGAGTGCAACCTAGCGCAGGGGTAACCGTCAGGAGGGGAGACAGGACGGAGCGAGCTAGCACGACGGTGGGCGGGCAGGGCGTGAACGGACAGGCGGCTAGACAAATGTCCAGTGGATGGACGGAGGAATGAGTGGATGGGCGGAGGAATGAGTGGATGGACGGAGGAATGAGTGGATGGGCCGGGGACGACGGTCTCTACCCCATTACACACAAACCCCCCCTGGGGTGGGCGGTTCCTCGGGCCTTGTCACTCCGTCACGTGAACTTTTAGCCAAACTTCCTGGAGTGGATCTTGAGTGGCAGGGGGCAGAGACGGAACAGGGGCCAGGGCCCCACAGACCGCTGGCTCTGATGTCCCCACCCCTGCCGCCCTCCTGAGAGGGAAACCCCAGAGCCCCAGATGCTGTGTGGACCCCCACCCGGGCCACCAGAGACCAGCGGCTGTACCCAGGGCCCGCCCCGCCCCGCCCCACCCACCTCATGGGAGTAGACGATGGCAATGAGCCCGGTGAGCAGGCAGCAGCAGAGGGTCACCAGCACGGACTCCATCATGTAGTCCTTGGGCAGCGGCCTGTGCTCCACCGTGGCGGAGGCTGGCACGCCGGCCAGGGCGCTGTTGTACTGTGAGGGCGGAGGCCACGGGCGTGAGGGACTGGGGGAGCCACCCCAGCCTCCAGACACCAGAGCGAGGATGCAGACAGGGAGGGGCCCTCCGCCCACCTCCAACCCCTCCCAGGGCCACCCAGGGCTCAGGTCAAGGTTCCCCTTTAGCCCTCTCTCTCCACACCCCCAGCCTCCCCTCAGCCCCCAGGGGCCCTCTTAGTGCTCAGTCCACGGTCCAGCCACCATGTGTCTCCATGTCCTCACTGGGCTCCCGACCTGGGGGACCTCTGGGCTCTCCACACACCGCTCAAGGTGTTTTGTTGGTGTTTTTTTCTAAAAATCTAATCATCTCCCACCCAAAGGCCACAGGCCACTTTCATTGGACCCCACCTTCCCATCCTCCCCTCCCCCCCAGTAAGCTGCACGACCACCATCCCCAAACTCCGGGGCCTGGCTGCCCTCCGCACCTGTGCCCCCAGCCCAGACCGCTGGCCCTTCTCTCCTCCACCTGAATTCTCCCCCTCACCCCTCAGAAGCCAGCTCAGCCCCCACTTCCTGGGCCTGCCCAGGCCCCAGGCTGGGGTAGCCCTTTCCTTTCTCTCCTCGGGCACAGAAGGCCGGGAAGGGGGGGAGGTGCTCACCGTGACCTCCCATCGCCCGGGAGCCAAACTCTCCCACGGGGGAGGGGCAGGTGGGGCAGAATGAGGGAGGGATGAGGAGGGATGAGGAGGGGCGAGTGGACATCAAGCGAGGGGAGAGCGGGGATGCCTAGGAGGGAGCTTGGGGGGTAAGGTGGGCGTGGAGCGGGCGTCTGCGTCACGCAGGGGGTGAGCGGCGGGCGGGGGGCCACCCCACTCACCACTGGGAAGGGCGCGAAGAGCGGCGCG